GTCGGCCTGTTCTGCTCCCCACTCTGTCTCTGGTGAAGCCTCTCACCGCCCCTGAGCCTCTGGCCTATACCCCAGATCTGTATGCACCAATAAATAAATCTTTAAAAAAAAAAAAAACATTAAAAAATTAAAAAAAAAATTACACTTATCAATAACTTACCTAAAATTCTGTTTAGATTAATAACATATTCTGCTCTCTGTAATTTCTTATGCTGTAGAAATGCTGAGGATTTTATTAAATTACACAGTAGTGTTTTTTACTATCATCTTGAAATGTGATATGATTTTATACGTAGATTGTTAGGAGCAGAAGAGAAAGGGCTTCAGATCAGGGATCAGAAGCTTTGGGTTACTGATCATTAAGTCAACTTAACCTCTCTCATTTCTTCATTTGTAAAATGGGGACAATGTTATCTTAAAAAGGAATGTTATGATGAAAAAATATATGAAAAGTGATAAAGTATGTAGAACCCTAAGTACAGTACCTAGAATAAAATATAAATGGAGTGGAAATGAAACAATGAAAAAATCAAGAGCTTTGAAAAAGACAAAACTAGATTCTAATTCGACCAAGATTCCTTATTAGTTGTGTGACCTTGGGCATATGATTAAATTTGGAGCCTGGTTCTTCATCTATAAATGAAAACAATTATTTCATACAAACGAGGCTCTTTATCTTTATGAGACTATAAATAATATATGTATGCCTGGGACAGCTAGTTGCCTAAGTCATATTCATTTCCTTTTCTTCTTTAGCAGCAGAACACAGGTATTATTGAGGGCAACAATGCACCTAGTAAATACGCAAAGTCTCCTGGCTACTAGAGGTAGCTGGGAAGATAGAGGTAGGGAGTTGGATTTTTTGAGAATATTCTCAATTCAGAGCAGATACAAGAATGAAATAGTTAGACTTTTATATGTACCCCCTCTTCCCTCTTCTCCCTCCCCTGAGTGCAGCCCTGATGGCTGGCGCTCTAGTGACTTTTTGGATCTAAGGCCCATGGAAGGAAGCCACACACAAGGATCATGAGGTAGAAAGACACACGGAGCCTGGGCCGTTCGGTGGCTCTGGGAAGCTGCGTGCCAGCTTCAGCTCCTCTGGTCTTTCTAAAGTGAGAGAAAAAAGAAACCTTTATCATAGTTAAGTCACTACTACTTAGAATTACTGTTGTGTGTGAATAAACTAAATCCCAGCGTAATTTTTATATAGCACCAAATCCAACATTTGGTGCATAACAGGGTTCAACAAATAGTAGCTGTTATTCATCATCTCCCTCAATTCCAGCTCTTAACAGTTAATCATGACCTCTTTCAGTTTTTTCATCAATGATAATATTTGCCATTTCTATCAACTGGATTATTAAGACGGTCTAATAAATCTCTCTGTATAATCAGTTATATATAGTATATTATTAATTATACGGTATATACAGTATATTGATTAATCAGTTATATACCGTATACTGTCTATATACAGTATATCAGTTATATATCGTACAATCAATAATATACGGCATATAACATACCGCATATTATTAGCAATCTAGCCTCATACACAACTAAATTACTATAAGGATCTAATAAATTTCTACATAATTATCATAAGCAGCCCTCCTGGCCAAGTAAATGATCATTTACTTTAGGTAAAGAAATCTAGTGAATCGACAAATATCAATCAAACACTACTATCACTAGAGTTCTTGCAGCAACAGCAACACTATTATCATTAACATATCTCATTTTTTTGGGATCAGTTACAGAAACAAGATCCCAAAAAAAGGAGTCTCTTTGTCCTACCCAAAAGCAAAAGGTCTCTCACCATACATGAAGAGTAAAAACCATAGTAACAACCACAGCTGCCATCTGCTGCACTTGCCCTGGACACGTTGACCATGCTGCCCTTCAGTGGACTGGAAAACAGCAGGAGACTGTCCCTAGGAACAAGTTTACACAGACACAAATACCTCCCTCCCCACAGTGTTTCTCATAGTTGAGTTTTCTGAATGCTACCAGGGTCTTTTGAAACAAGAGTTACCTGTCTTTCTGATTTGTGTTTGCGTGCCACCCTCCAAAGGACTAATAGAAGAGATTTCAACTCAGTAACTAGAAACTAGTTAACTAAAACATTAACATAAGTGAAAGATAGTGATATTTTTAATTTGCGATTTATCACAATAGTATGACCCTTAAATTGTCATCACAACTGGTGAGGTTGTTGAGAGACGAAAGCAGTCACATTAAATTGATACTTAATCAATAGGTACAAAGAAATATATACCCTGTTGGCCTTCCCTGATGGCCCAGTGAGTTAGGACACAGCACAGCAAGCAAGCCATAGCTGCTTCAGTGAGAGTTTGATCCCCAGTCCCGGAGCTGACCTACATGGTGCAACAGACCTCTCCTGACTCGCCCACTGCTCCCCTCAGCAGTGTTCTTCGTTGATCTGCCTGTTCTGCTCCCCACTCTGTCTCTGGTGAATCCTTTCACCGTCCCTGCACCTCTGGCCTGTACCCCAATTCTGTATGAATAAACAAATAAATTAAAAAAAAAAAGAAATATATACTCTATGACTATTCAATAAATAATTATGGGCTAGCTAACACAAGTAAAAGCAAAAGCATCTTAATGAAATGAGAACTTTTCACAGGAATTCAAACTTGCTTCTACAGTGACAAAGTCTCTTTGGTTCAAATCTTCTGTGTGTATCCAGAGGCGTTAACTTTGGTGACTGTAACTCAGAACGGCTCCAAGAAGCCTTACCTGCCATGGTGTACAGATGCAGTGGGGTTTGCACTGGTTGGTGCAGGACAAGAAGAGGCAGGTTGCCACAGGCTGCCCCGAGAGGTAGATGAGCCAATGGTAATGGGTGAGGTAGCAGATGAATTGCGATTGGCTGAAATGTAGGGACTTGTGGGGTCACTACTTCTACCAAATGAAGCACTGCAAAACAGTACATGATCACTTTCTTCAGGACATGCTGTTCACCCACCATTTCCCAGCACCACCTTCCCACGAAGATTGTGCACTTAAAAGGAATGTAGACCAAAGAGAGGGGATGACAACTGGGAGTGGAGGGATCAACTCCGGCCGGAGCTGGGTCACTGGCAGCAAGCAGGCATCTGTCAATCATCCAAAAGAGTGAAGGAACGTGAAAGAGGAGAGATGATAATGCAACAAGAGAAAGTAGAAGAGTAGAATATAGGGAGGCCAAGAACGGGAAATATGAGGAAAGAATAATTTTACCAGAAGAAATCATTCCCAACAAACCCCAAGGCAAAAAAAATCATGCAATCCCAAACATCTACCTGATACAGAAGTAGCATTACTAAAGTGAGACCGAGAATTTGGAGAGGTTCTGGAGCAAAGATTTCAAGTTAAAGAGAAAAATGAGTAAGGAAGCTCTGTTAAAACAGATACTTTGAGAACTGCAGTTATTTAGCCTAAAGCAAAAATGTCTTTAGGAGAATTTAATGTTTTATGGCTAGAAAGTAATACTGATGAGAAACTGAAGACAACTTTGATTTCATTGAAAACAGGTAAAACCATGTCAATTGCAGGGGAAAAAATGTGCTAAAGTTAAAAAAAAGTCTTGATTATATAATAATGAGATATTTGAGTGGAGAATCAAAATAAACTATGACTTCATTGGAAAAGAGGAATTTTACTGGGCCATATAAAGGCATTTCTGCCCAAACACAGGAGAAGAGCTAGAAAATAGAAAATATGCTTAGGTTTGGTACAGCCAAGAATGATAAACATCTACTCACACTTTTCATTTCTAAATAGTGATGGCATATGACTCTTCCCTTTGAAAAGATCATAAAATAAGATTTTGTGAAATCAAAAGGCACCTTAGGATTCTAGAACAGCAGCCTTGGAAATCCAAAGTGTGATGCAAGTTGTTGAACTTTTCTCAAAGTGTCCATATAACTATGCATGTTTTCCACCCTAACTAGAGGCAGGTACTTTCTCCTCGAGTCACCATACTCATGCCAAACTAGATCTACCAATCCAAATGCTACTCACTCAGCCTATTTGCTGATAATGTGGATCAGGAAAATCAACCCGCCCCCACCACAAACAATACCATGCCTGAAAATTAAATGGTAATTCTTTCGTTCCTAGATCTAGAACATTATCTTTAAAGAAAAGCTGTCCTGGTTTTGGGTCCAATGCTAAGAGTAATATACCTAATAGACCAAGGGTCTTAGCCTTGAAGACAAATAGATGAGAGCCTCATTTAACCAACATCAGCTAGTTTGTATAATAAAGCTTCAGTGGAATCATTGAACTAGATAGTCTTAAGTTGAGTCCTTTCTTACAGGATGTCTGCAGAACTGAAGGTCACTAGAAGTCAAAAGTGGCTATTTTATAGCCCACATTTTGACATTAACTAGTTGACAAGATTCTTCCTACCAAGTAGAAATAAGTTTTGATTCCAAACATACAGCCTATGGTCCAAACCTATTTCTAGTGGAGTCATCAGTTATCTAAAAAACCTGATAAAAGCTATGGAACAAAAAGGGCAGCTAGAGGGGTTAAACAGAAGAAAGAATTCAAAGTAAGCAATGAGAATGAGATTCTTTCACATCAGCAGCAAAGATCAAATTAAAATACCAATTAAGTATATCTTGTAGCTTAACAGCTCTGGCAAAGGTACTTTGCTTGCTGGTTGGTACATGGCAAAGAAAATAATTGCAGGGAAGAAGGTAAAGATGAGAAAAGGGAAAGAAAACCCATGTACCTTCTCTGCACCAAACTTGCGAGTTTCACATCTTGATGGATCTGAGGGCCGTTAAAGTCATAAAAAAAAACAACAACTCAAATCCCTAAGTTAACAGGCTTCAATATGAAACTTCTTTAATACAACATAAAATTGTTCCCATGTACCAACCCCTTCACCACCCTGTAGGGCTCCTCCTTTCCTCCCTCAAGCCCCCCAAAGTAATTTGAGATAAGTACTCTAGTTTCAGGAAAAGGACAGCTAGCTTGTCATGGGTGAGATAAATTCAGTCCTACGCAGAGATTACAAGCAGACACTTCTGGTTGAAGATTTTAGTAGGACTGAGAGGATAAGAGTACAAATTCAGATCGGTGGTGAGAATTTGGGATCATCTTACTTTAATTTAGTTAAGAAAATAAATTAATTTTAATTAGATAAGAGTTAATCCCAAGAAATTGAAAATTCATTTTTTGGCTTCATTTCTGTGGTACTTATTGGCTAGAAAGAGGCATGCAGTTATTACACAGAGGCCCATGGCCAGAGTAAGGGAAAATCACGTCCCATGCCCTTGAACCTGGTACCTTTTCAAGTAGGTTGAAACACAAGTGGAAGGAGCTATTGTCTGTGGAGTTTCATTTCCCTTCGCTTCGTCCCGCCACAGCTGCCTGTTGTAAGAGCCACTCCTCACCAGGTGAACAGCTGACTCTCTGTACAGGCAAGAAAGAAAACCAAAACAAAACACTGATTTTTATCTTCAGTGTTTGTCCGCACTCTAATGCAAACAGTGAGAAGAGCCAAACAGGCAAATTGTAACATAGCTAATGAAACAGATTGACCTTCATGGATTCAATTCAATTGACTGTCTGTTACACCTATTTTGTGTATAGAAAGAGGAAGAGTAAGTGTTACTGTTGCTTTCTTTTATCAACTTCAAAGTCAACTTATTTCAACATAAATTCCAAATCTTGTCTCTCACCCTTTTGTAATGAAAAGTCACTTACTTCCTCTTTCAAAATGTTTTGCAGATCAGTCCCAGAAGTAGGCTGCTCACAGATAAGCAGAGAAGGGGGTTTCTGGAAGCCTCTCTAGCATTATAAATGAAAGAGGCACCCAGGAAAGGACTGCAGTAGGATTTCTGATCCACAGATGTAAACTCAGGGTCTCTGCTACAAAAGCCACGGGTCTCCAAGTTTCACAAGGTTCTCTAAGCCATCATTCTCAAACTTGACTGTGCATGTGACTCTTAAGATGTTGACTAAGCAAGTCTGGGGTGGCATTTAAGAGTCTGTATTTCTAATGTTGCTTCCAGAAGCAAGACTCTGAAAGGCAGCTTTGAGGTGCAGCAATCCTTCATTTTAACTGATGAGGAATTCTTGAACTTTTGTCTGTTTACAAATTAGAACTTGATTAATTCAACCAAACAACACACTTACAGTGTTTACCATGGGGTAGGCACTGTGCTGGGTACTAGGGGTTTTTGACAAACCAGACAGGTACAGACCCTACTTTACAGAGCTTGTTGGTAGACTAAAACAAATTCGCACTGAAGGGTCAGAGAAGATGTCCTACACGCAGAAATATCTAAGATGGAGTTAGACTCCAAAGGGCAAAAAAATGGCAAGGCAAGGGAGAAAGGGCTGGGAGAAGTCCTAAGAAGGAATAAACAATGCACAGTGTACTAAGTAAACCTGAAGGAGGGCGGCCGGGGAATCGCTAGGAGGGCGCCATAACCAGCAGTGGAGAGGACCATCACCTGGCCTGTGTCAGGGTTACCTGTTCTCCTTTTCTTCCATGTCACTTGTGTTGTTGAGCCTCCGGGATGCTAGTGAACTAAAATAGCTTTTGTTTTCTCTCTCCTGTAAAATCAAAACAAGTAAAACACAGGGAAGGTACAACACTGACAGGGTATAAAAAGCATTTTGGGTTGGAAAAAGCATGACTTAATAGGTGTGGGTATTCTCATTTCTAGAGCCAATACCAATTCCAGCTTCAGTGGCATTACAAAAGATTCATTTTCAAAGGCTTATTCCTAACTTTCCTCCATTAGAAACCAATGTCTAAGGAAGTAACTCTCAAGGGAAAGAGTCAAGATGATCAAGTAAGGAAAAGGCAACAGAAATTACACCAAGCAGCAGCTCTCCCTAGAGAGGGGGTGGCTTTGAACAGCTACCAACACAAACTCTACCCTAAGGTTTTCGTGAAATAAACCTGTATCTTCCCAGCCCACATTTCCTTTGAAATGCAGCCGCCTCCGAACAATAACAAATGCTGCAGAGACAATTCAACTCTGTAGCCTCCTCCCCTGCACAGCTGCCAGAAACTGTGGTAGAGCACAGGAATGATAAAAGCCAGGATGTCCTGACCCTGCATGGGCACCACGGAGTGCTATACAATTTGGAAGCAAAAGTAAAGAAACAAAAATACACTCATCTTGGATGAATACAGAGATGAGCTGTTTGAGAAGTCAGCTGTCATACATCTAATGAAAAATTGAGACAGCCCCTAATTTTTTTCTCTTGGTAGTAATTTGCCTAAGCTTCTTTA